TGCAAACTTGCATGCCTCATATCTGCACACAGATGTATGTGCTCACACATGAAAATGCACAAACACATGGGTGTGTATGCATGGCAGAGCACATACCTCTCTATCACCGCCTGTCCATCTACTGACACCTTTATCACTCCATCCAGTCTCCTATATAATCAGCATTAGTCTCTATTGTCACCCTCCAACCATCACCAACACAAACGCACAGATACACACACTCTCACACACTCTCAGGTCAGCTGAGTGATGTTGGAGTGTGTATTTCTCTTCTGCCTGTGTTAAAGTGAGTCATCTATCCTTCCACAGCTTCATTACAACCTGCAAGGGCAAACACTATCTCTCTCTCCCCCTGCCTCTCCACATGGAGGGAGAGAGATATTCAGTAGATAGAAGGTGAGATCTCCCCCTCTCTCTTTCTCTTTGTATCCACCCCATCTTGCTCTTTTTCTCTTGTTCACTCGTCTCTATTTTTATCTTTCATTTCGACATCTATTGCCTTATATCTTGTTTTTTCAATCACACAGTCTTTCTCTCTTCCTCTCCCACCTAGCCTTGAGCAAGTGCCAGCACGGGTTAGGCAGCCTGTGATGTAAACATTTTACCCGACTGAAAAGTGCAACAGAGTCGATGGATACACAGGCAGGTGTGGCCAAAAGTATGTGGACACCCCTGCCAGGTAAACTGTTAGTTTGGGGCATGTTTTCTTGATTTAAGAATGGCCATTAGCTTAATACAATAGCACACAATGATATTATGTAGTACAAATGGCTTCCAACTTTACAACAGTAAGAAAAGAAAACTAGAATTAACGCCAAAGTTAACAAATTCCTTCAAGTTGTTGCTCTGATATTGCGTTCACAAGAATAATACCTCAGGCCAAGTATTTGGTGGCGGAATAAAAAATAGAGAGATCATTCTCAGACTTTCATGTTAAAGAAGAACTTAACTGGCTTACAAAGAGCCAGCCTGTTAGTTTATAGCCACAAATGAATGACTTTTTTTTTTTAAATAACATGTTCAAAGCATCACATATCAGAGAAATGTTTAGGTAGTTTATCCTGACAGACAGATAATGTAATGCACACAAGGTAAAAGAGGTATTAAAGAGTGGAAAGGTCATGTAAAGGTCATGTATCTATAGCGGGATACAGAATGAAAGACGTGAAAAAAGAAATGTGTTTGTGTTCTTACCGGCCTCTTGCAGCTCAGACAGAGATCTTGTGTAGAAAGCGTCCATTTTGAGGCCCTAATGTTAACATGAATAATGCATAAGTAAAACCTCTTATTCTCTAAATGTTAAATGTCTAGCTGTTATCAAAAATAACTTCATAGAGCATTAGCAGGTTTGCACGCAACAGAGTGGCTTCTGCAGTACAATACAGAGAAGTTCAACTTTGATTCATCATTTTTACTTTCTGAATTTGTCCAGCACCACTGTCTAAACTGCACATCAAAACATGAAAACAAGTCACTTCGATACTAACTGTTACTAATGTATTCATGAATGCATTATCTGATAAGCAAAACAAATATGTTATTATTTTATTTATCACAAGGGCAATAAATATACTTCAGGTTGTTCAACTGGGACCCTCAAATAAGACACAATATAATGGCATGACTCACTGAATGGTTGAAAAACGATTCAAGTCTTCGACTCCCTCTACTGGCTTGCAGCGCAGGCTGATAAAAATGTAGTGATAATGTTGCATCGTCACCACTGAGGCGTCTCTTCAGTCGAATATCAGACTGCCTCCCTGAGAAAGATTACAACCAGTTGTTAGAAAATACACCAGGAAAATGCTGAAACTGGAGGAACAATGCTTTTTTTTGTTCCAACTGCAATACTCAATTATCAAACCAGCTTTAAATCATTGACAGTCACGACAAACAAAAGAGCAAAACGACAGATGAAAACAAAAAAGGCAAATTGATATTGAGCTTAATATGGTTAAATGGTTTGGGGAAAACACTGTAGTTTAGGGAGGAGTTAAAACAATTAGACATAAGTTTCCTATTGATTGCTTCCAAGGTCTCTTATCCCAGCAACAGTCGACAGGCTCATTACTCTAAAAGACAACCTTATAGACAGTAAGGACTGATAACGCTGGATCAATGCCACTGATCAGTTTCCACCACAGATTGGAAAAGCACACAGAAGTAGAATAGACAGAAAGGGCATTCTCATTAAATGAAAGATTTCAAAGAGCATTTTGGCTGCTATACACAAGAAGTAACCTACAGGACGTTATGTTTGCCCAGACTCTGGGAATCATTTGAAATCCTAGTTCATTGAAATACTTCAGCCATAGATAGAGGTATATATTTTACAGTCCATATTTGTCACACTAGTGGACCAGCGTGGCTGTAATGCTCATTATGCACCACAAAACTATCAATGGATGAAAAGTAGAAACTTGCTTTTCTTAGTCAGGGTAAATGTGGAATAAAGCATGTAAAGTTTGGCATGTGTGGAGGGTGAACAAATTGAGTCCATGGCTGTAACAAGAGAAACACTATGCATGTTTGCCTAGTCATAAAGGGTTTAATTATTACTGTGGCCATCCTTAGCTTGCCAGGTTCTACATTAAGACCTACAGTACTGTAGCTCAGATTTATTTGTCTACTCAAAACTGATAAAAAGCTCAACTTTAAATCAGGTTCAGTTGTTTCTTTGGTGTTTTGAGATGTTAGCTAGTCATGAGACTCCATTTAAAGAACCAGCTGTTGTGATATCTACTTAGTAACAGTGTTGTGATATCCACTTACTAATCTAAAAAAAGGCCAACGGTGTAAACACACTGAATGAATACAAGTATCATTAAAGGGTGTGCCAGAACTTGTTCAACAATACTAGCAGTGCCTTAATGATTACAACTTGCAATCATTAGGCATGTGCCCCACAAAGGCAGTGGCAAGTATTTTGAAAGATGTTCTACCTGTTTTTAAACTGTAGCTATAGACTTCCATTGTTTGTAAAACCATGGAGCGTGTTGTAGCTCGACATCTTTTTTTTATGTCAATTTATTGAACATGTCAGAAACAAAACATACATCAATACTAATAATAATATATATTGCTTCTTCCTTTTCTTCCTTCTCACTCATAATAATAATAATTATACCAAAGTACAATAAAATAAATAATAATGATAATGCAAAAAAAAAAGAAATAAAAAGAAACAACAACAATAAATCTTAAATTAGTCTCTGTCGTGTTCAACAGGGGCAAGAAGAAGCTTAAAAAACTTTTCTGGTCCTACCCCTTCTAGCGTACATTTTCCTTGCAGTATAAATGAAGTAATTAGGTCATCGTCATCAGCGACATGTTTGTCTTGATACTTTTTTACAAAAACAATCAGGAAGTAATTACTTTTACAATTACAGGAAATAACAAAAAGAATTTTTACAGGTACTGTTCATAACCACTAATGGTTTGGCTCTTGAATAATACTTTCATTTTATATAAAGTTGTACAATTTTTCAGTGCATCACTACATTTATTCCACAGACCAACACCTTTTGATGAGATGCAATGAAGTTTGGCATTTGTACGTACGGGTGGTTTTTTGAAAATGCAGTTTCCTCTCAACATGTGCATGCCTTCTCTCCGTGTAAAAAGTCCCTGGACACCATGAGGCAAATGATGATTTGCGGCCTTGTACATAATTTGAATGGTTTTATAGTCAACCAGGTCTTGTAGTTTTAGTGTTTTTAGTTTGATAAATAATTTATTTGTTGGTTCTCTGTACGAAGTTTTGTGTATAACTCGTATTGCTCTTTTTTGCAGGATGAAGATAGGATGTGTATTTGTTTTGTATGTGTTCCCCCAAACCTCCACACAATACATCATGTATGGAAGTATGAAGGAGCAGTACAGCATAAACAAGGAAGCTTGATTAACTAGGTATTTGGCTTTATTTAGAATTGCTATTGATTTGGATATTTTGGCTTTGATATAGCTTATATGTGGTTTCCAACTTAATTTATTGTCTATGATTATTCCAAGGAATTTTATTTCCGTTACTCTTTCTAGTTGGACGCCATTTATAGTGAGTTTCTTCTCTGTATTGGTCGACCGATTCCCAAATATTATGAGTTTGGTTTTGCTTGCGTTCAATGTTAATTTATTTTGGTCAAACCAGATCTTCATCCTGCTCAGTTCCTTTTCCATTGTGACCAATAGCTGTTCTAGATTGTCCCCACAGCAGAGTAGACTTGTGTCATCTGCAAAAAGAATGGTTTTAACAGTTTTTGATACTTCACATATGTTGTTAATATACAGAATAAATAATAATGGCCCCAAGACAGAGCCTCTCACTTCCTCCGGCCACTTAAACCCACTTCACTTTGCTTACAGAAGCACATTTATTTGTTTAACATCATTGCTAGACATTTAATGCGCCCTATAATAAATCAGAGTAGGCCTACTTTGGGGATTGTTTTTATATACAATTTAAAGACCTATCTGCATGTCTGTCTCTGTGGTATGGAGATATGGACTTTGAGTTGTTGTTATTTCCTCACCTATTCTATCATATTCTTTTACATTACATTACATTACATTACATGTCACTTGTTAGACGCTTTTATCCAAAGCAACTTACATACTCGATACTGTGGGCAATCCCCACAGGAGCAATTTGGGGTGAAGTGTCTTGCCCAGGGACACAACGACATGCTGACTGCAGTGGGGTGTGACCATAGACTGTATATATAAAGGGGTGTGACCCCCTGGTCCGAACACCAACGCTCAACCCACTGCACCACACGCCTCCATATTCTTCTGGCATTTAGCAAGCACCAAATGCACAGGGCCTCATGAGTTGGCAAGAAGCTAAACCACAGAATTTGACTTTTACAGGATTAGCCAAGGCAAGTAGACTGACGTCAGTGTATTGCTTCATAACTCTGCATTGTAGAAACCCTGAGAATCTGACTCATCCGTCAGTGGCAGCGTGGTAAAGTCTGACAAGCCTGGCTGCTGCAGTGGCGTCATCCTCCTACCTCCAAGTTATTGTACGGATATTTGAGCTTTGGGCGGATTGTTTGGCAACAGTTCACTTCCCTCTTCTATGCCACACTACGCACAGAGCAACAGGCATGCTACCATCAGAAGTAAACCGTAGAGTTGAACTTTAGTAAGTTTAAAGTTGTTGTTTTTCTCTGTCAGTATGGGTGACTCGGACGCGACTCTGAGAAGAAGGGCGACTTTCGCAGCGGGGTTAGGTGGAAGTATGCAGCCGATGAATGGGAAGTCTGCAGCGGCGTCTCAGAGCTCAGTGACCGCTGACTTTGGAAGAGATAATGGCCTGGGAAAACGAGACCGTATGGTGGAAACAGCCCGGTCAAAATCAAAGAGTGAGAAACATAAACGCAGGAACGACATAAGTGAGAGAATGAGGTGAGTTTTAAAGCTACAAAACAAACTGTTGTTTCGTCCGAGGAAAGTTTAGTTTAGTATAAAAGTTAGACTTCATAGGGCTGACGACTGACGTTACATTCACTTGAAGCTACTTTTATTAACGTCCTATTTAGTCAGCATGCCTTTTGAACTAGTTTTGAGTGCAGCAGACAGTGAGGGCATGTTGTACAGGGTCGTTTGAGGTCGCTCTGGACCAGTTTGTTTGTTTGTGTTTGTTTTGAGTGTCTTTCATTCATACTTTAACCCCATTTTTAGTGCTTCTTGGCAGAATAACACACTTTAGAACTCACCCTGCATGTCCTTGTCCAGCGTTACTCCAGTTTGTCCAGGTTGCTTCATTGATTAGGGGCGTGCCCGATAGTTCCCCCATGAACAGGGTGAGTTGTGAGTAAACTTAATCCCCTTAGCCTAAAGGCTTTTTTTTAATATAATGTAATTAATACCCTGTGAACTGACTAAGCACCAGATCAGTAATTTAAAGAGCAATAAATCAGTACGATTTATTTTGGTGTCCTATAATAAAAGTAGTTTGACAAATATTTAACCGCACCTTAAACAAACTTCACCATTAGTTGTCTGAGCAGCTGCAACAACCTTTTTATTTATTGGGCGTAGCCTAGTGTTAATAAAGCCTAATGTTTTAGGCTGGTATTTTCATCTTCCAATCTTTCCTTTCTTACTTTATTATATGTAATGTCTTTTATCTGGACCCTGAGTCTGTAATAAAAGTGTTGATTGATTGATTTACTGCCAGCAAATCTAGAGGTTAGACATGTAGGTTTAACAGTTTTCTTTTTTTTTTAGTATTTACTGTTGGATTTATAGTTGATTCGTGAGTGAAATTTAAATAAATGTATTTTAAGCTATTTATGATGTTCATTGTTTCACCCATTAATCTGTTTTCTTTCATTAGCTGTCATAAAACACAGGAGTCCCTGCTGAGTTCATCCAGTGGTTTCAGTAACTACAGAGGAATCCTAAACTGGTGTGTGGTTATGCTGGTAAGAAAAAAGTGTGCATAGAAATGTAGGGTGGATAATATAAATGTTTACCAAAGCCATGTCCACACCAGGATTGGGCTGAACAATTATTTGAATTTCTTGCAAATTGTAATGTGGACTAGTTCATTATCCAAATCACAGGAGCTGCAATATTTGTTAAAGGCCATTTTGAATATGCTATAAATTGATCCAGTGATGCCGGGGTCTTCTTAAGAAAATAACTATGTTTGGTACCATTCAGCACAAAATCCCACCAGGATCATTTAAATGTATTTTTCAATGATAATGAGAATATGGATGCAATAATTACAATTCGTTTGAGCACAGTTTGGCTTATTTTTACAAGTTAAATGAAGTTCTCAGGTTACTTTATTCATAATAAGTGAAGTACCAGTAAAACAACAACTGTACCCTTACATACTGTAAGTAGCCTTGTTCTAATCCGATATTATCCAGTTTTGTTTTCACTAATCTCAAAACAGAAGGAGAACTAAGCAGAAAATACACTGGCATGGATTAATACATTAAAATATGTCCAAATGATATACAATATAAAAGTATAGAAAAAAATAGTCTTATCAAAAGACTTTGTGTTTCATTAAATAATCAAAACGCAAATATTTATTGAGTTATTGAAGTTAGCTCCCATCATAACCCTTTTTCTTGTTGCAATTAATTTTCTTAAAATATTAAATTACATGCAAGAATAATTCAACATTGACAACAAGTTAATGTCAAGCTCAACATCTTCCTCCTCTTCCTGTGTCGGGAATAAGCGAGAGAAAAAGACAAGGCTAGCCCTTCTGTTAATCCAGGCTTTGAACACAGATTGTTTTGTTCATTGCAGGAGTTTTTTTTTCTTCATTCTCACTGAACTTGTCCTATCCCCAGTCATAGAGCTTTTGTGCTGGGTAATGAGATATTACAATCCATTTAGAAAGACCAAGAGAGAGAAGGAGAGATATAAAAGAATGTGGGTAGGAGGATGAAGAGGATTGGAAATATGTAAAGGAGAAAATAGATGAGATATAGGGGAGCAACAGAAAGAGAGGTAATGCGAAAATATCCATTTATTGAATTAAAAGCATAGAAATCAAGAAACGTACAGACTACAAAGGTTATTGTGGATATACATGCAGGCAAGAGACACTGAACATTATTAATTCTTGCTCTGTGTTGCAGGTTTTGAGTAATGCTCGCCTCTTCTTAGAAAACCTGCTAAGGTGAGTACTGTACGTTGTTTTTTCATCCCTGTCTTTTTCTTCTACAGTATGCCTGTACCCAGTGTGGCCTTTCTAATGATAATCTTGTTAACTTTTTGCTGTAAAAATATAATTTTCCAATTTGGGATCAATACACAGTACGTGTAATCTAAAGTTATGCTTGCCAAGTAAAAGGTTTTCCAAAAAATAATCATCTTGCACAGATGTTTTACTAATCGTGTAATCTAATTTATCAGACACATTTTGATATCTCTCCTAGAAAGTGCAAAGGTGAAATTAATTCAATTAATAAAACGAAAACCAAAGATTTCCCTGGTAAAGAAAGTGTGTTGTGTGTAGTTCTTTAATATGTTTTACTTTGAAGAAGATGGATAACATAAATTGTCTTGAAAATCAGCTTCTGTATTCGGTTAATATACATTTAATTAAATTCATATTTTAATTTGGATTTGTCTTTTTCTTCTTTCTTGTTGTTTGTTAGGTACGGCATTCTGGTGGACCCTATTCAGGTGATTTCCTTGTTTCTGAAGGATCCCTACAGCTGGCCAGCAGCATGCCTTGTTATTGGTAAGTACAAAAATGCAAAAACATGAGCACAATCATATTTACATTTAGTAACATTAAGTGCTAAACTTTAATTAATGTATTGTTTAACTGAACTGTGTTAAAACAGTGGACATGTTTTTGGTTGTGTGATCTCACTTGTTTCCTTTTCTGATAAGCACACAGGCACATACCATATTCAACGTTTTTTGCATATTTATTTTTATGGTATATCGCAGTGAAAGTCTGCAGTGGTGCAGCTTACAGTGTCTCTAGAGGGACAATCACCTGCCCTATATACTATACTGCACCCTGCATGTGCTGCAGAGAGAGGAAGGGGGTGAGAGAAATGAAGAGCAAGAGAGGAGAAAGGGAGATGAGTGGGGGTGTAAGGAGAAAAGCTGTGGGGGGTTATTTAAATGGAAGAGAAAATGAAGTGCTTTATGGTCTATATAGAGAGGGTTGGTAAGAGGGAAAACGGCAGGGTTGAAAAACAGATGTAAGTTGGAAAAAAGGGATAATAAAGGAGTGGGGAAGGAAGAAAGAGAGGGTCGATGTGAAGTGGTGCACAGGGTAAGAGGAGAGGGAGAGAAGGATGGAGTTAAGGTTAATGCCCGATGGCAAAGAGACAGGTGGGAATGGGAGTCTGTTTACAGTAGCATGGACAGTAGAGCAACTCATTCCCAGAGGGCATACTGTTCTTTGAGAGTCACTGCAGCGGGGACAACACACACACACTCCCACACACAAATACCAAGACAAAAGCAAATTAGAAGGCCACAATTTATGGTAGCCTAACAGAAAAGAGGGGAAAGTTTAGAAAACCCGCGTATAAAGTTTTACAGTTCGGCAACTGTCCCTGGGAGGGACCTAAATAAAAATAAAACTGACTCTAATGTAAGGTATCTCACTGTCGTTTAAGTCTGTTGGTGCCTGAAAGACTCCCAAAGGCTGCTCTGTGCAGGTGCTAAATGGCGCTGTTTGTTGCAGTTTGATGCACAAGTAGGCTCAATAGTTGCTGTTAGTCAAAGATGCTCAACAGGCCTGTATCCAAAATAGATTTAAAAGAAACATTGGCAGGAGTGTGCCATGAGGTCTTCTGCTATTCAGATGGGATAGTGTCTTTGTGTTTGATGAAGAACTAAGAATTAAATAAAAACAGTTCAAATTCTCTTTTGGTAAAATGTATGAAACAGTCATGTTGAAGAAAGGAAGTTACTTCTGGATCTTTTTTCAGTGGCTAATGAGCACACTTTCTAAAATCAGGATATTGTAGCTGTTAAATTAAGGAAGTTCCCTATTATTTACTTCCTCTTAGATTTATATGTGTGTGCACGTTCATGCACACCCATTTATTCATGCACACCCATTTATTTGCCCTGTCACTCTAACTAACTAGCAGTTGGCGTGTGCTGTGTAACACATATGTTCTGTTAGTGCCGGCTCATTTCTTCCATCAGGTGTGTGTGTGTGTGTGTGTGTGTGTGTGTGTGTGTGTGTGTGTGTGTGTGTGTGTGTGTGTGTGTGTGTGTGTGTGTGTGTGTGTGTGTGTGTGTGTGTGTGTGTGTGTGTGTGTGTGTGTGTGTGTGTGTGTGTGTGTGTGTGTGTGTGTGTGTGTGTGTGTGTGTGTGTGTGTGTGTGTGTGTGTGTGTGTGTGTGTGTGTGTGTGTGTGTGTGTGTGTGTGTGTGTGTGTGTGTGTGTGTGTGTGTGTGTGTGTGTGTGTGTGTGTGTGTGTGTGTGTGTGTGTGTGTGTGTGTGTGTGTGTGTGTGTGTGTGTGTGTGTGTGTGTGTGTGTGTGTGTGTGTGTGTGTGTGTGTGTGTGTGTGTGTGTGTGTGTGTGGTTAATCAATCTACCGTACAGTATCTGCTCTGAGAATAAGAGACTATATCCCTGCAGATAAAACAATTAAATTGTGTTTAAGTGAAACAGCAAGATTTTGCTAAAAAGGCAGGTGTAGAGCTTAACTTAAATACTAAAAACAAACCAGTGCGCCCATGAGTCTTGAATCTTATCAAATTAATAGAAATAATTAATAAATTAAGAGTCAAATTCCTACTTTCATGGGTGTGAAAGGAACTGTTAAGAGAAACTGATATGAATCTCTCTCTCTTGTTGTGTTTGAATAGCCTCCAACCTGTTCATTCTGGTGGCTCTCTACACAGAAAGGCAGCTATCAAAGGTGAGTGGAGAAACTTAAACATCAGAGCACTGTGGATTTTAACTGAACTGTAGAATTTGGAGCACTTTCATAACTCCAAAGAGGTATTTTTACTAGCTGACCCTCCCCAACCGCATCTGCACATGTTCACCATCAGCATTTAGGGCATATGTCACTTTGGAATGAATATGGAGCATCCTGAAAACTTCATTTGGCCACCATCACCATAAATGTGGGTCAAAGCAAAGCAATACTTTCAATTGTCATGTTTAGCCACTGCATTCTACTTAAAATAATAAGCTCAACAACAAAAGACTAAAGTTCAAGCATCGGCAAACAAACTAAAGACATTTTGTTGGAAGATTGTGATTAAAAATGGTAAACCTTCCTGTCTTTAGTTTATATAGTAAAACCTCCTGCTCTCTTCCTCTCTTTCTTCCCAGGGTTCCTTCACTGAACGTGTGGGATTTCAGGTCCATTGCATTAACATGGTAAACATGCTAACATTCCCTGCTGCAGTCGTCCTATTGGTCCCCTCCGTGACCCCAGGTAAGATTATTTTTCACTGTCTTAAGATACCATCTCTGCAGCCTTGCTTCGACCTACCGTTCATAATAGAGACAAGTAGTTGACTAAAATATTATCATGTATTATGCAGCCAAAGCATTATCCAGTCATTGGTAGTTAACAGTTAATGTAACCGTGATAAAGATTAGGAGGACATTCCCATCCTTGCCCTTCAGAGAACAGTCGACCAGTTTGATAGTGCAGTAAAAGACATATCTTATACAGAGCCATAATTGGAGTCGGTTAGTGGTAATGGACCAGTTGGTCATGACTGGATTATTTCCAGCTGGCTCTTAGGGGAAGAGAAGAGAAGGGAGGAGTGCAGAGGAGAGGAAAGATGCCAAGGTAGGGGTGTGGTTTGCAGCACGGGGTCAACCAAGGGTCACCTTCCTCTGTCTTCATCAGGCTGCCTGACAGAAACCATGGCCGCCCTCCAAAAACGGCACAACTCACCTATAAAGAATTAGCCATTTTCTACAGATCATGATTCACCAGCACACTATATGTCTTTGAGTGATTCATTTAAAGCAATATATCCAGTTTTTGTTTAATTTGCGTTGTCTGGTTGCTGCTTTGGTTATGTGAAACAAACAAGGATGATCATTTTTGTTTAGTAAGTAAATACTCAAGAGGAAGCCAGTGTCATTCATTTGCATTCAACAGGACATGTGACTGTCACCAAATGTTGAAAATGCAATATAACAAAGATTGTGCTTCTTTTTTTTAGTACTAATATGTGTACGAAAAAAGAGCATATTTCTGGTTGGAGGGCTAGTTATCCAACTTGCTGAACATAACAGTGTTTCATACCGTTATCATAATATACTTAATATACAAAGTCTCAGTCCTCTTTTCCTCAAACTTTAGTTAGGGCAACTCAAACTCTACCTTAATCATGAGACACACAGTTAGTGTCTTGTGTCCTCTTGCAATTGGCACACATTTTAAATGATCATCTAGTTAAAGAAAAATGATTATTGTACTCCCAATTTGGTATATCTTCTCCTCTCTCCTCCTCTCCTCTCCTCTCCTCTCCTCTCCTCTCCTCTCCTCTCATCTGTTCTCTCTCTGGGAGGTAAAGGAGTCAGTCCATCTGTGTGTCTGTTCTCTTCTCTGCGCTGCTGTTCACACAGGAAGGGCAATGACAGAGGGTGTGTGTGTGTGTGTGTGTGTGTGTGTGTGTGTGTGTGTGTGTGTGTGTGTGTGTGTGTGTGTGTGTGTGTGTGTGTGTGTGTGTGTGTGTGTGTGTGTGTGTGTGTGTGTGTGTGTGTGTGTGTGTGTGTGTGTGTGTGTGTGTGTGTGTGTGTGTGTGTGTGTGTGTGTGTGTGTGTGTGTGTGTGTGTGTGTGTGTGTGTGTGTGTGTGTGTGTGTGTGTGTGTGTGTGTGTGTGTGTGTGTGTGTGTGTGTGTGTGTGTGTGTGTGTGTGTGTGTGTGTGTGTGTGTGTGTGTGTGTGTGTGTGTGTGTGTGTGTGTGTGTGTGTGTGTGTGTGTGTGTGTGTGTGTGTGT